AATAAAATTCGATGGAAATGCAATTTAAACTTGCAAACTTTGTGAAAACGAAATAAACAAACATTTCATTTTTAATCCGGTGTATTGTTCTAAAAAGTGCAACACACTCATGCAACACACACGTGGACGATTCATGAATTACAGTGGCACGTAGAGAGACACCAGGAAAGCTGGAGCGTCCTCGATAAGCGTCCATTTATTCAGGGATCATTTTTATATGTGCCACGTCTGAATTGTCAGAAATATGAAAAGGAGATGACAATAAAATGTTATTTTTAGCTATTTTTTGTTTTGTTTTGTTTTGTTTTCACGTATAATAAAGTAAGATTAAATTGCAAAGCACTTGGTATAATTGCTAATTAACTTGGATAATTTATAACTGATTTTAATATTTGCTTTACGCAAAAGAAAATTAAGACGTTTTAATCAAGGCTTTTTAATTCTGTACTTCTGTCTTTAAGATTTAATTGTGTCCATGAGCTATTTATTTATGCAGAATTAAAAAGTAATTTAGCATTTGACATTAAATTGCCATTTGACATTAAACTATCATTCCATGTGGTAAGGAAAACGTTCAGTCACTCATCAAAAAGTTGAATCATCTCAAACATAGAAACAGGAGAAGGGAGAAAGAAAAGTCCCTATTAATAGAAACTTCAACATGAAACATAAAGATAATCAGAAAAATTTTACCTTATATAAAATCTCTTTGGGTTACATATATTATGGGCACTTTTCTTAACCAATATATAAGACAAAATATATAAATGTATCTGTGTAACGGTAATAGTTAACATTACAGTACAAGTAAATATTTATTTCGTATGTAAAACACGGGAGAGTATCATTAATACATGAGGATAAATTTCAAAAATATAGAAAACAAGAAGCGAAAACTCGCATGTAGAAGTCACGCGAAATAAAAGATACATACCATAATCGAAGAGAAGAGAAAAAAAGCTAAACGTTTATATGTGTAGAGCTCTGCTTGTCATAGGAACAGAGCAGATTTTTAATATTTCGAGTTGGAAAGAAATATTGACGGTGATGGGGCAAGCGTTGAGAAGAGAGGGTTGTTGAGAATAAGGGGAAAAAATCGAAAAATCATGAGAAATAATCGCAAACAATAAATATATATATATATATATATATATATATATATATATATTACTATGTTGCGAGAGACAAGATTACCACCTCGAGATCCATGGTGGTGTGCCGCGAGGCGGGGTGCCGTCTGGCCGTGTGGTGGTGGACAAATGATGTGGATGAGAGGGTGCAGCTGCTGCGCCGCGTTGACTGCTGATGATAGGAAGGGAAGGTTGATGATCGCCGCCGAGGTGTGCCCTCCGTCGGGCTCCGCCCTCGAGCGCCGCCACCCCCGGAGGAGCTCGCGGCCCCCCGAGCCACCCCCGCCGCTTCCGGCGCCAACCCCCCAAGACACCACCGCCGCCTCCGCCTCCGACGCCGCCGCCACTGCCAGACCGTCTGCCAGATGTGAGCTCGTTCGAGCCGGGTTCAACCTCCCCCCTGACAGATCCCCCCTGCAATCATAGATGTTGATGATATCATTATCGATGCTCGTGTGACATCGCCCTCGACAGCTGGATTTTAAAATAAAATTTTATACAATATCGTTGCCTTCTCGGTAGCAGTATTATAAAAAGTAAAATGATCTTGCATCGGTTTAGATCTAATTAAACACCACACGTTTTGCAATTTTAACATATTATTAATTATTTACATTATTTACATTTTAGGTCAAGATTTTATTAAACTGTTGAAAGTGTTCCTTACATGTTCACTGTGTTTAATGACAATTGCCAAAATACATTGTTTGGCACAATTAAATAATTTACTGTGAAAACTTTTCTGTAAAAGAAGAATTGGGATCTCGTGAAATTTATTAATAAACGCCCCTGATGAAGAGTCGAAGTAAATAGTCCAGCGACCTATTTGGCAGAAAGTGGCTCCGACAAAGTGTACCGAGAATAACGCGTTCGCGGAAGTGGCCGGAAATAGTTATCGGGTGACACGTGCGTGTATACCGGAGGTGTGCTGTCGCTTTAGTTTAGTTCTTTACGTAATGGGACGGGACCGACCATAGCGATGGAAAAAAAGCAGGGTTTCCTTAAGTAATAATGTCTGAGATTATCCGGAATAGTCAGGAGACTGGGAGGGATAGATAACTATGAGATTCGACGTTTATTTCTCTTTGTTGGGTCGGATGTGCCTTCTCTCCTCGTTTACCTCGATCTACTTCTTCGAATTGCCTCTGAAGTACACGTGAGAGAAGAAATAAAGAGATGATCAATTTTGCCGTATACATCGGTCATTTTCGTGATAATTTCCGACCAAGCGAACGCGATCAGCTCACGGAACACGCAGCACGTGAACACACGATGAACGGTCCACTTCCGAAATGCAAAAGCGTCATGCTACCTTTGTCCGGCGTCGTTCTCGACTTGATTAAATACAAACACTTGACGAATACGGGCGGTCTCGTCGTTCTCTCCAAATGAACGTGCTACCCGGTCACAATCAATTTTCGGCGAGCTCGCCCAGCCACGTGGGGCTTAACGACGCTGAAAGTTCGAGCGCAAATTCCGCACGGCAGGAGCGTCGTGGGAAAGTGGGTCAGCTCGTCAGAGTGGCGAATCGGGAGAGGACGGACGGCGTCGTTCTCCAATTAATGACGAGATTCGAATTCCGACGGGTCTGCAAGACCGATTCAATCGTCCTGGCAGCGCCATACCTCGCGTAGATAACCGGACATTGCGCATTTCGACTGCTGTGCGGCGATCGTTCCGCGCGAACGTCGCATCGCAATCCGGCGTTACGTCATAAAACTGCTGCGCTGCATTGACGTTCAACCGCACATTTTTCGAAGGGACATTTACATCGGCAAATGTAAAGGCCGAGATTTATTACAGTCGACAACGTACAATCCTGCGTTTGAATGGCAGAGAAATACAAAAATCCGGAAATGCAATATATCTTCTTTTTTTTTAGAATAGATTTCTATATTCAAAGATTTTCAAATTTCTCCATCTTGTTCTCCATAATTGTCATTTCTTTAAGCATCGATATTAGAATTACAAGAGAGCTAGAACAGATTTACCAATAATTTTAGAATAACTCGATTAACATGCTTCATACATGCATGAAAATTAACTGCAGATTGCTAATTGCATAGCTGCATGTGTATTTTGGAACAATAAGCCGCGCAAATTCCTGTAATAAAGGAGAGGTTTACGCTCTGAAGCTCGACACCTATAATTGAGACAACGTGAATAAACCATAGTAAAGCAAACTGTTTTGAAATTTCTAACAAGCATCTAACACCAACGTAAACTATACAACGTCCATAGAATTATAGGATAATTATCGAAACGGAAGATTGCTTTTGACGTTATCGCTTGGATCACAAAACGCTTAAGATATAATCTTCGCGTGATTTACAAGGAAAGCTTTCACATAGGAAGTCTGTAAATCAAAATACAAGATAATAATTGAAACCATGTTTTTTTATAATGCTACTTCAACTTGAAAACGTTAATTAATTGAATATATTCATTATTCATATCTTCAATGGACTATCTTGTATTTTTGTTTAACGATGTAATATTATCCATTTTCTGCCATGACACGTGTCCGACGCCTATTAAAACGTCATCTGTCAATTTGATTGACGCCTCTTTAAAATCGCGATACATGTAGAGCGTTACGAACGAAAAATTACAATCTAGAAAGCATGAATACTCCGAAAAATTGTCGGCAAAAGTCACGTAAACGAATAAAGACGAGCGGAAAATTGCACAGAATGATGTAATAAAAAACAAACTGTCACTCTCTTTTCATCGCTTTAACCACAAATTTTTAATTATTAACAAATTTAAGTCGTAATTAGTTTCATCAAAATAATTAAATTTAATGTTTTTGTAAACATTGTATTTTGCTATATACTAAGCAAAATAACATTTTACATTCTCCATTATTTGTATCCATGATTGCAGTAATATATACTATAATCGGCTTTCTATGGATTTGAAGCAATCTTTTGCTGTAAGAAGACGAAAAGAGATCCTAGATTAACCTATTTAGAGT